ATGCAGCACACAGGTTGCAACCTTTTGAACCACAAAACAGGCAGCACAGCTTTTTAATTTTCACTTGTATGCATAAGTTGGGGGTTTTGGAAGGTAGAAACCTTAAAGTTTGTCCAGTCCCCTTGAAATTCAGTTGCACTTCTGCATGTAATTCTGTCAGTCTTTGAGAAGGGTGAACCCCTTTAGTACTTCATGTAAGATAGGAAGAAAATGCTTAAGTAACTCATATTTTCATTCTGGAGAAGAAATTATTGACAGGCTAATTTTCTATTTATGTTGGATATTAAAGAAATTCAGTAATCCTTACTCTGAGCACTGATAAATTAAAAACAGTACCTGAATTACAGGCCAGAAGGTTGGATTTTGGACCTATAGCTGCTGACAGGAACGTTAAGTGGCGGAACTACCCATGAACCGAATGTCTTCCAATGTGCTGCTAAAACAAGAGTTTAATTCTTAGGGATAGTGCAAGGATTAAATACTTCTCTCAAGAACCAGATGTTGCTGTCTTCACTATTTGAATACTTCAGATGCAGGTTTCATATGTGTTTTTAAATGTTTTCTAGTGATTAGTGGATGGCATTTTCTCTGAAATTTCTAAAAATTAAAAGATACATCCAAAGTATTGATAAAGTTTAGCAGCTCACATTGTTTGAAGCAGGAACATATTCCAGTGTCTGTGTAGCTTATCTTTGACCATATGTTCTTCATTAAAAAAAAACAAAGCAAACAACCCTCCGTTTCTCAGGTCATTTTTAGCTGGGCCATATTATTGGGCTTTTAATATTATTGTTCTGATTGCCCTTAGCTTCTGAGGAGGCCAAGTGGGGAAAAACCCCTTTGCTCTGTCACAAATGGGTGTCTATCCAAGGCAGTAATGGCTTGGGACATTCAGGACACTTTAATTGATGTTATACCTTAGCTTTGCTTGTAACTGTAAAATCAAATTAATCCTGATGTATGTAGTATTTGAACCACATGTCTGTCCAACGTTATTCCCTCCATTATGAAATCAGATTATGTGCTCCCTTTGGTGTCCCTGTTAAACACAGGGGAAGTTGCTTTTATTTTAGTTAATTTCTAGAAAAAAACAGTTCTGTGTCATAAGAGCAAATTATACTTGGCTGTCAGGATCAAAGTATGAAGGGTGTTGGGTAGGGGGGTTGTTTCACATTTGCTGTTGGTGGGTTTTTCGGTTGGTTTTTTGGTGTGTTTTTGTGTCTTGGGATGTTTTTTTTGTTGTTGTTGTGTTTTCGTGTGTGTTGGTGGTTTGTTTTTTTTTTAAATCACTGTTCAGCATGCTATGTATAAAATGTTTGTGCAATACTGTCTTTCCTGAAGTCATTGGCCTGGATTAGGCAAAGATGTGGCATGACTTGACATAAATAATAAGAATTTTGTATTGAAGGGGTAAAACATATTTTATTAACGGGACTGTTGGGTATCTCCTGATTCATTTCACAAAAATGTGAAGCTGGAGAGATGAAGACTGTTGATATTGTGAGGGGATACTGCTGAAGAAACTTTCAGAACTTGAAGTTTGATAATTAGGTAAAGTGAACCAAAGCTCCTTAGGCTTTTAGCACAATGCTACCCCCTAGTGGAACAGTGTTGCATTAAAAAACCCCAGCATTCTTTGTCAGTGAGCAGTGAGGTTTTAATTAAATGTGATATACATTAGGCAGTGTATGTGGGTAGTTGTATAGCAGTAACAAAGTAGAAGAAAATTTGAGGAAGCCACCTGTATCATCTATGATAGTTACAGATTACATTTTCATTAAAATGGATATTTCTTATTGTCATAATTCTAAATCATTGCTTTGCAAAAGGTGAATCAGTAGTTCTCATTGGATAGCAATTCATTTGGGGTTAACAGGATTTCATTCAAGGATTCTTTTAAAAGTCAGTAGCATTTTGTGCAAGTCAGAAATGTATGCTGACTATCTAAACCCTTGTCATGCATTGTTCAGGCTCTTCTTTTGGTTTGTTATTTGCTTTTGTTCCCTGCCTCAAAATGACCCCCTCCAGACCATGTTTTCTTCTCAACACCTGTGATTAATGTGGATGCATCCAGTTTAAACTGACGTTGAATCTGTAACATATTTGCTGTATTTGCAAATGTAAGGTAAAAGTGGAGAAATGTTGGATAGGCATCTGGTGAAAGACATACTGTGCTGACTGGAATATGTTATCTTTGAGCATTTGGGGTTTGTGCAGGGAGAAGAAATGAACTTTGTGAATTGCAGTTGATCTAAAGATTAAAGTAGGGAAAAACTAAAAACAAAATCAAAGCTTTGATAAGTAAACATGTATTTCCTATAGTGGGAGGAGATTATTTGCCTGGCGGCTATCTCAGTTTCTAGACCCCAGGTTGGATAGATGGGTGAGGTTTTGGCAGCCAAGTAATAGACTTGAAGAACAGGAAAGACTGTAACGGACCTGACTTCGGTGAGACTGTTGTAAGAAGGGAAGAATAAGTGCTGTAACTTCTGGAAAAGAGGTCTTCCTGGATTCAGGGGGAGGTCTGGGGATGTAAGCATGGGTTTAGCTCCCAGGCTGAGGCTTTTAATTTAATTATCATTTTCCCTTTTGTGGTCTTCATTCTCTGCTACACAAAGGGATATAAAAGTAACATGGTACATCCCCTGTTGTTGACCTGCTTCTGAAAGGGGAGGATGTGGTAGATGTGGCAAAATATTGAGAGATGTAGAAAGCATGCTCTTTCTATAGCTTTGTTATTCTCTTCATCTGACTTCACCAGCCATAGTGATGTGTTATGCTAATGTTCATTTTCTGTTCAAATCAGATTGTAGACTTTCTGATAATTGATCATAAGAAGCAAAATTAATCTGTTTGAAGACCTTGTTGTACATTTCCACTGGAAATGTTCTTGAGTTTTAAATAAAAGCATTGCATTGTGATTTATGTTTATGGCTGAATTTCTCCAAAGTTAATATCACAAAGTGTATGAGGGTTGCAGTTTGGAATGATACGGTGAAGTATTGAAGAAAATGAAGAAAATGTGTAAATAAAAAATTCTTAAAAACATATCTGTCTTCAAGTAGGAACAATCTAGATGTTTGAGAGAACATGTGGCAGGAGGGGTCTGTTGCAGAGAGGCTTATGTCTGCACTAAATCAACTGCTATGAGCTTAAAGGAAAAACGTGGGGAAAATACACTTATTGGAGAACCATGGCTTAATACTTCATCTGGAAAGCTGTTAGTGTCTGACATAGACTCTACGTTAAACTAGTCTGCTCATTTCAGTGTGATGTCTAACTTGCTGATCAGCTGTTTTCTAGAACGTTTAGTAGGCAACAAAAAGACTTGCAGTGCTGCCAATAACAAGTGTGTTGTGTATAGCATGTATTGTTGGGGAGATACGGATGCTTCATAGGTAAAACTATATGGGGGGAAAAAAGTAAACAAACCGACTGAAGCAATGAAATCCATTCTACAGAGTTAATAAGCAGGTGTTCTCAGAAGTTAGGTTGCTCTCAGTGTCCAAATCATCACAGATTGTTACAGATCCTTCAGAGTTTATGGATGAAAGTTCAGATAAAAGCATGTCAAGTGAGAAAGATTTTTTTTTTTAAGAAAAAAAAAACCCCACAAATCTTTGAAGATGGTAACAGGGCCATCCTCAAAATGTATTTCTTTGAGGCTGTTAACAAAGATTGTTGAAACATTTTTTTCTAATACACCATTCCATGTAGAGTGATGCTTTCAAAGTAGATACTGAGTGTGGCAACTAAAGAAACAGGCTTGGTGTTCATATAAGCATGGTGTTTAGACATGAGAAATGATTACATAATGTCTTAAGCTATCCCTGTAGGTAAAGAAACTAAAAGAAAAATGATATAACTTTGTCCACTGTTCCTCTAAATGTGGTGATGCAATTGTGTGAACATGTAGCAGAGATTTAAAAGAAATTACTTATTGTTGCATTCCTGTATTACATGTGGTAAAGCTTCTGTTCAGCTGCTACAGAGTGGAGTAGCACAACAAAAATTTAAAAAATTTTCTGTAATTAACACCAGTCCTCTGGCAGTTAGCCACCTCCCTATTTTTTTTTTTAGGTCTAATGTGACTATTTCATTCTGGCAGTTTTATTTCTCCAAAGTTGTCTGTGCTTGTACCAAGCTTTGAAGAGCATGTCATAGCTGATGCTGAAAGAGGATGCTGATCAAAATCCTGCCTTAATAGTATACACCGCTTTCTTTTGTGGAGGGCCTTAATTTGCTGGTACAATTGAGGGACATTTGTGTTAGACTTGACAGAGAACAAGATGATGACGCTTCTGCACTTAACTAAGTAACCAAGAGAGAACTGAAACCACACAGAAAAATGAAAACCTTTGGAAGCTATAAAGCCTTTCTCTGACACATGCAGTGTGACTACCTTACAGTGCAAAGGTTGAGCTTGAGAAGGAAACAGGGTGGAGAGAACTGATGCAGCCTAACTTCAAAAAACACCTTAACTTTTTTCTGTCATGGGATGTCAGGGATGGTTATGGTATTGTTCAGAATTAAAGTTTTAGGAAGTGTGAAAGTAAAGGCTGAAAATCTAGTGGATTATTGTCAGTGGTTGGTTTGCTTATTGTTGTCTTTTCCTTTTGATCAGCCATTGTATCATTTAGCTTTTAAGTGTGCTTGGCCCAAGATTCCTGACTGAACAGTCAAAATGCCAGTCAATACTACCAGGTAAAGGTGGCTGTAGGAAGGTGTGTCCGAGAAGATTTTATAACTTAACCTATTATTATTTCAGGTGCTTGAGTTTGCCCTTTATTTTACTTCAAGAATTAAAGATTCTAATTTTGGGAGAGCAGTATCTTTTAAAGACATAAATACATTTAAAAATTGAGTCTTGTCAGCTGTGCATGTCAGATGGCTGGCTCCTTTCCGTTGTTGAGAGACAATAGCAACAAATCTGCCTCTTATTAAAAAAAAAAAAAGGGGTGCATTTATTGCTGTTTTAAAGCAATTTTATTTGTTTACAGGTGTCAGCTGTGATGCATGTTTAAAAGGAAATTTTCGAGGTCGCCGATACAAGTGTTTAATTTGCTACGATTACGATCTGTGTGCAACGTGTTATGAAAGTGGTGCAACGACGACGAGGCATACAACTGACCATCCAATGCAGTGCATACTAACAAGAGTAGATTTTGGTAAGTGATAACTTCAAAGTCCAGCAATTTGCTGCTATGTTGTGTCTGCAAACATAATATGGATTTTCATGTTTCTGCTTATTAATCACTTCCCCCATTAGTACACAGAAAATAAGAACAAGTTCTCATCTTCTAAAAACAGGCATGTTTTCTTTGATTTTAGCATACAAGAACTGATTTATATATTTCTTTTCAATTGATGCGTATATATTTTTAATCTTTTTTTTTTATTTTGGTCTCATAATCAGGTTATCAGACTGACAAATACACTTAATAACAATGGCTGCTCCTAATTAACTTCTTCCAGTTCAGAAGATGAGGCAACATTCTCTCCTCAGTATGCTTTATTTAAGTGCCACAGTGTACAAGCAGAAAAATCTTGGCGAGATTTTGTAGGAATGTTACTCGCTGGTGGCTTATGTGGGACTGTAGGTACAGCAGAGGTAGTGATGGGCTATATAAAAGATTAGTATATATACAAGATATATACCGAGTACAAAAGATTAGTGGCAAGGACTAGCATGTAGTTTTCTTGGAACTCCTTTGAAGATCTGCTAATTTAAGAATTATTTCTGACCGTAAAGCCATATCAATATTTAAAATAAAAAATAATTGTTCTTGTCTCCTATCCTGCTTGTTGTTTCTATTGCATTGTATTTGTAACAGGTTGTAACTCAGAAGATACTTCCGTGACAAACCACTGCTCTAAGATGTTGCTGATGCTGGACATGTATTTCATTTTTATGTTAAGCCCACAGGGCTAGCATTTTAATAAAACTTTTTTAAGCGATTCCAGCTGTATTGGTCTTTACATTTTGAATTCTTTAAATCTGATTTCTTAAAAGCTGAAGTCTTAAGAACTGTAAATTACTTCTTCACTTTTTTGATTAAAACAGAAGTAAAATCTACTACTTCATTGCTTAAAGAGTAGTGAATAGCTATATGGAGAAGTATGCAATTGGTTTCTCAAAATAGCCTTTGAACGAGGATGTCTTTCATTTTCTTTTAATTCCCAGGTCTCTGCTTGCCCTAAGACTGCCTGGTCATAACTTCAAAAATCCAAGCCCTGGGAATCCAGGGATTGGAAGGAAATATTTTAGTGTGTTATCAAAAATGCATGCCACTGGTTTAGCTTGCATGTGTTTCTTCTCAGGCTTCTTTCTTTCGGTCTCACTAATGAAGTAAAATTCTCTGTGTACAGTATATTAATTCAGGATTCTGGTCACTGTTTGAGATGCACAGTTCAAACTCCTTAGCCCCTTAGCAACAGTTATTCTTAGATGTTGCACATGGTCTAAAAGGACAGTATTGCCATAAACATTAAATGCATCATAGGGGTAAGAGGGCCTGAAACATGCCTGCTATGAAGCCTTAAGCTAACATTGAATGTCAAAGCTTTCAGTGTACTGCAATGAGGAAACTTGTTATAAACACTGCTTTCTTAAAAAATGCCTATGATCAGAACCTAAGAATGTCTAGGAAATATAATTTGTTTCTTGCAACTTGGATTTTCTCTCTTTGAAGTATCTTTTGGTTTAATGCATTTTATTTGTGTATGTTGTGGGGGCAGAGAGGGGTTATTTTTTACTATTTAAGCCTGCCTGAAGAATACAGATGGCGAGGTGGAAGAAGGTTCATGGTGAAATATTGAGATGGGTAATAGGATTCCAAGGGCTACTTCTGCATTGCTTGGTGTTTATGCTGCTGTACTACCTTTAAATAATAAGAATGAGAAAACAAGCTGTAGAAATTCCATATGGCTTGATATCTCAGCATTGCTCCCACAGAACCAGTGTTAGGAAAAAAAATACTGCAGCTCAGCTCTGCAGCAAAACTCCTGGTTTGATTAACACTGTAGGACAAGAACAGGAAAGAATACATCACCACCAGATTGTGAACCACAGCAAAGGTTGATGGCATCTGAGGACTAGTGACCTTGTAAGCTTATACACTGAAGAATGAATTAGGGAATATTTATAAATACGTATTCCTTAGGGCTCAGGAAGGTCTCTGATGTAATTCTTAAAATGTTTTTATTTTACAGTTCCGTGTAGAATGTAAGACATAAAGGAGTGTGCCTTTACAGTACTGTGCAGATGCTTAGAGAAACTACAGTAACTTTTCAAAGGGCCTTGTGTAGTCAAGCAGATCATGTGACTTTGAGGAATATCGAAAAAATTAGAAGCTAAGGAATGTTAAGTTTAATTAGAAAATCAATAATGAATGGTAGAACTAGTCTGGAATGACCTGTTTCAGAGTTGTCAGGATAGCTGTGCTAGTGAATATTAAAAATCACCAAGGAAGTAGTTTAGCGTGTTAAAAGAAAATAATCTCAAGGGGAAGATTGGCAATGTAAAACTAAATGGCGTACAAGTAATGAAGTCTTCAGTCGCTTCCTAGTGACGTCAAATGGAAGGATAATATTTTCTAATGTATGACGGTATGAGTAGGGAGTTTTCCTAAGCGAGGAAAACTGCAGTAGAAACACAGAATGGAAGGCTGTTATTATACGTAGGTGTGAAAATTGTAGTTTACCTGGCCATTGACAAATTTCAATAGTGTTGTCTGTAATCAGGTGTGATTCAGAGGTATGAAAACTATTTTTAATAGGAGCAAACTTCCAGTTTTTGCTGGCAGTGGGGAGGGAAGTGGATAGCTAGTAAAGATTAGTATTTTACCAAGGAGAAGGAAGGAGAGTGGGGCATCCTTCCATTGCAAAACTGATGCAAGCACTTCAGAGGAAGTCTTTGTCATTTTTCTGATTTTAAAAGCATGCATGGGGATTGGTGAGTCACTTTCTCAAGGTCCATCTGCAGTTGATGAAAAGGACCCTGTACCTCCTAGTCCCATCACCAGTTTGGCCAGCACTGTCTACATGCAGAGAGCTGTGGAGTTTGCTTAAGTACTCTGCGCCTAAAGCTGCGATCAAGTTCAGAATTGTGGTGGCTAATTGCATCGATGATCCATGTGTCTGGGATTGTTTCAGCATAGAAAAAGTTAACATGTTTTTTACCTTCATGAAAATTCTGATCAGTTTTTAGGGTTCCTAGGTACTGTAATAATATTGTGGAGTATATTGCAAGAAGATGGACTTCTTCAGATGCTCTGAAGGACCTTTTTGATTGATTTGATTTATTCTTTCCCCCTGGAGACTCAGACTAGTGTAGGAGCCCATATGAGAACACTGAAAACAAATAAAAAGCCCTAGTGATTTCTGGCTACACGTGTTCATTCTTGTACCATCTGGTTGGCATATTTGTCTTTCAAGAATCGGTGTATGACCTAGTACTAATTTTGAAGCAAGATGGGATCCAGAACAATGGCAGTGCTATTGTTCTTCAGTCCCCACAAGAGACACTGGAAAAAAATGTTTTAACACACTCACACACACCCACACCAAGAGTGATACGTTGCTGTAACAGGGACAGAGCTTAAAATAAAATATGAAGTCTCATATGTAATGACAGGTGGCCTTTAAAGCACAAATCCAATTAGTTTATTTCTGAGGGGTCAAAGAGTAGAATTGCAATAGGCCTGTGTAAAGAACAGGAATGTGCTTACCAGGCAGTCATTGTACTTTTGTGCTTTTTGTAGGACAATTTGTCAGGACAATGGAGAAGTTCAGAGCAAATTTCTCAGTTTTCTTTCTCCCAAAAAAGAATCCTAAGCTGTTAGGATGCTTTATGATTTTAAGCATGTGCCTTGCACATTACCCCTGCCATTTTAAAGGGTTTATACTGGTAAAGAAAGTAATAAAAATTGTTAGTAGCATTCTCTGCCAAAATCATTGTCTTACTTTTGATAAAAGTACAGAACCTTCACTTGTCAGCTCAGGTGCTTATGTGACAGGAGATCCTACCACCTTTTGTGCCTAATGCTTAGGCAAAGGGAGCTGCTTAAATAATGGTTACCTTGATAATGTGTACTGTGGTGCCTGACTGGCTTCACCAGAATCTTTGTGATTTTTCAACTGCTAGAACAAAATCTGTCTGGTAAGTGCATATCTTGCTAAGTCAGAGCACCATAGAATAGTCTAGTTTGTTTGGAATGGGAGTCTGGAGATCATCTGATCCAACCTCCTGTTGGGAGCAGGGACATAAGCTGGGCTATCCCATCAAGCCAAGTCTTGAATACTTCCGTTAAGGGATGTTTCACCATTTCTGGGCCACCTATTCCAGTGTTTAGTTCCTACAGTGACTGTTAGGCTTTTTTGTTTCCCTTTATCCAGTTGGAATTTCCTCTGAAGCAGCTTGTGCTTGGAGCCCATCACCATGCTTCCCTTTGAAGAGCATACCTATATTTCCTCTACAACTATTTTTTCAGTATAAGAAGTTGAAGGTGAGATCCACCTTGAGCCTTCTGTGGGGTGTATGAACCCCATTCCTTCAACCATTCTTACATCAAGTTCTTTAACCCTCTAACTGTCTTGGTGGACACAAACATGTGCATGCACACACAACACAGAAAAAATCCCTTAGATCCTCTCCATTTTATTTCAGTATTTGTCTTGAATTGGAGAGACCAAAACTGAACCCTGTGTTGCTGGTGTTGCCTAACAAGTGCCAAGTAACATGGGATAATCACATGCCTTGATTTGACAGCTGTTCTCTTACTGATTTAGCCCAGGTCATTGTTTGCCTTTAGTGACACAGGGGCACACTGCTGGCTCATGTTTGGCTTGCTGTCCACTGGGATCCCCTGGTCCTTTTCAGCAGAGCTGCTCCCCAGCTAGTTGACCCTGCCTTTGAGCAGCAGCTGCTGTTTCAGCACTGCTCAGTATTGGCAGATGGGCTGCAAATCCTCTCTCATCTTCACTAGCATCTGTGCTCATTCATGGCTCCAGCATGTGGTTCTTATTGTTGGGGAGCAGCAAGACTGGGGCTGCTCCACAAAGAATAACAAACCAGGAGCTGAGGGTGACCACAGCACATGCAGGGGCAGTGTCCTTGCTGACAGGGTGTGCAGGGCAGGGTTGGTGGCAGGAGCAGATCCTGTTGACA